TTCAGGTTCCAAGGGAATCCAGAGGTGTTGCATTCCCTTGAGCTGTTGTTACAGATGTTGTGAACCAGGTGACATGGATGCTGAGATCCTAACTGAAATCCCCTTTAAAGGAGCATGTGCCCATAACCACTAACCACCTCTCCAGCACCTTCAATTATTTTCTTTCATGCATGTCATGACAGACATGTGGCAACCAGAGACAACTTTGTGTGGTCAGTTCTCTTCTTTATATAAGTGGGTCTTAAAGATTGAACTTTGCCCACTAAGTCATCTCAATGGCCCTAATTTTATCATCCTAATTTTCAAGCATAATTGGCTCAATTTTTGTTGTATTTCTTTTTTACAATATATGAGTGATTAAAAGTTTTATATCAAATTGTGAAATATATTCTTCTAGTCAAGATAGAATGACGGAAAGTTCACTTATGATCACATCTGGGATGGTGAAATAGAGCAAGTTTTTCAGCAATTGGACTTCTGTTTATGTAGGAGAGTCATCCCTGAGGCGTGGACAGTAAGTGAGAGAACTGTGTCATGTGCATATTCTACCTTGTGAGGAGATGTCCATGTCTCCTCAGGGATCACCTGAAGGCCTTTGGAGCTGAGCAGACAGAAGTGGAAATATAAAAAGGCCAAAGCAGATAAGAAAAACAGAGTAGAATACGGAAAAACAAACTGTACAAAGTGCTAGAACTCTGTAAGACCTCTCCCTTGAGTCTCTAGCTGAATGCAAGCCAACACAGAATTGTATTTAAAAAAATTAACCAAAAGCTACAGACGAACCAAAAATAGTATTGGTTCTAACCAGATGAATGGAAAAACTACATAATCCATGAAGAACTGAGTAGAACACTCTGTCATTTCATGTTAGAAGTAGGAAAACTAGGGCAGCAGATGCTCTAGTTCTTTCTAACAGACTTTACAAGTATCCATGCACTACAAATTGATTGCAGAATAAAGCATGGGGATACCTATAGAAGCACCAAACACATAGTAACTGGTAAAGTTACAATTGAAAGTTTCCAGAAAAATATCAAAGTATAAAGAAAAATATAACTCACTATGAAGGGGAGATCATTAGAGGCCAAACCAGGGGGGAAAAGAGATTCCAATAGTAAGAATATGAGATCTTCAAAGCAGTTTTTGAAGTCCATAGCACAGATGAAAGTCTGATGAGGTTAGGCATAGTCACAGAGTCTGTCTTTAAAAAGACTAAGATTTCAAGAACTTGTCTAGCTTCCTTACAAAAGGTGAGGAGGCAGGGCAAATCACTGACTCATCTCCAGCACTGGAAAGACAGGTGAATCCTGGGCACCACAGATTTTCAGGCAATCCCAAAGGAACCAGCAAAACCTGACCTCCTCCGCTTAATTATTGGAAGTTCAGTGTGGACAAGTCTGAACATTAAGACTTACAAGGACCCTGTAGTGGGAAGGGGGCACACTTCTGTAAATTTCAAATCTATGAGCTCAATGGGGCTCATAAGAAAATATCGGAGCAAAGGCCATTTGAATTTTTGATGGACAGAAGGGGAAGTAAGCATTTTCAAATACACACAACCATTCCAATTTTACTACTGGCTTACGATTAGGAAAGATAACCAGATCCAACCTCCTGTTTGGTTGTCCAAGTCTGAGTGACCCAGGAAAGGGGGATTCCCAACTGCACCTCACTCTTGCCTTCTGTGACACTAATATGGAGGGCAGTGACTGAGAAATACATGAGATCATATTTCAATGGAAAAGATTCGTAAGAGCCTGACCTAGCTTCCCTTCCCCAAAACATACCAACACATTGTCAAAGCCTATTTACACCAATTAATATATCTACAGCATAAGCCTTACACCTAAAGCTAAGAGGGACATCTCAGAAGAGGGATGGAAAGGTTATAGTAGCCAGAGGACCAGGACATCTGTTGAGAGATAGTATCTTCTATATATGACAAGGAGTTTCACCCATGAAATCTAAACAATAGGGTCACCTGAACAAGACTGGGATAGTGACAACACCAGCTGAAATCCCAACATGGATAGGGAAAATCTCATAAACTGCCACCCCTAGGTGAAGAGCAATTAATGGCTGCTGAGAGGAGACATAGCATTTTCCAGTGACTAGCCCCCAGATAGATTACCCAATCCTAAGTAATCATGCCTAAACACATATACATATTAGCAACATTGAATGGACTCTGTATGGTGTCTTTACATATGCATGCATGTGTGTGTGTGTGTGTGTGTGTGTGTGTGTGTGTGTGTGTGTGTGTGTGTGTGTACACATTATTGTTGGCATGGTAAAGTAGGGGAAAACTGATATAAACCAGCTACCACCAGTAAAACTAATGTAAATTGGCATCTACTGTTAATGAAACTCTTTCAGATAATCAGCATCAGAAAGGAAATTTCCAGTTTCACAAATAGCATCTCAAAAACAGCAATTCCTATCTTAAGGTTTGTTTTTGTAAGAAGAAAATAGAAATCTTTCTTTAGAAAATCTTATATTCAATCTTTGAGCTTATGTTTTTTTTTAAAGAGATTCTTCTCTCATAGAATGCATCCTGACTACAGTTTCCCCTCCCTCTACTCCTCCCAGCTCCCCTACCCAGCTCCCCTCTCCCCCAGATCCACTCCCCCTCCATTTCCCTTCAGAAAAAGAGAAGCCCTCCAAACACACGTTGCACTTACCGATCGGCACAATGAAGAAACACAGAGAGAAAAGTGTTTCCTTTCACTTTGACTAGAGGATCACATGAGTCAATAGTTTGGCTACAGTAAATTAAATGCCCACTCTTTTCCTCATGACATTGAGAAGTTACTTTGTCTTTGTGGATATGGTTCACCATTTTATTTTATTTTTGTCTGGTGCAGATCTTCATTTGTAAAGTTCTACTCAAACTTAAGGGTTTTTTTGCCACTTAAGTGTTTTTCAAAAGCATTACCCACCTTAAATGATAAGTGGGTCTCATCTTGACTAAATGTGACCTTTTGGAAGTTCAGTTTCATGCAGGCATGTCCAACCTGAAGCTTGCAGCCTGCTTCTGGCTGAAGGCATCTGTTGGGCGTATGAAGATCCTTGCACCCACAGATCTCCAGGGAAACCAGGGATGTTAAGCACCCAGGATTGTTCTTTCAAACTTGTTTTTTTTTTTTTTTTCTAGAAAGCTGGGAATTGGAGGGGATTAATAGCCTGGTGATCTGCATTATCTTTGGGGCCAGGCCATATCAAGTTCTCACAACCAGGACCAGAGATACCTAACAGTCTAAATGACCCTTACGTTATCTATATAGCAAGAGGCTCCCTCAAGCTCACACAACAGTATCAGAGGTGGCTAATATCCTAAATGACCTCTATGCTATCTGCATGACCAAGAGCAGGCCAGATCCTTCCTTAGGACTTTAAGCTAATATAGGTAGCCTATTTCCAGAACCCATCTTCTTTGAAGAAATGACATGCACCTTGAGTTGAGTTTTGATGTAATTATGCTTCCTATGCACCAGAGGTTATATTATACCAGGAAATCTTTTTTTTTCAAATTATATTGTATTTAAATATACTGACAATAAACTGCCTGGCATCAGACTCCCAAAGTTTGATCCATGTTGATGAAGTCAGTCTGATCCGAGTTTTCATTCTGTCCTCTTTGATGTTAGTTTTTGTGCCTGCACTCACAGGGTTTCCCTCAGACAGCTGTCAAATGGCCCAACACAAAACTGTAAACTGAAACTTACTGAAAACACTAGGAGATGTTCTTGTAATGTTTTTCATAACTTGATTGCACAGTTATCAAGCATGAACTGTGTAGATGATAATGCTGTTTTTGGAATTTCAGAAGAGTTACTGTACTTGAAGAACTTATATAACTATGTGACTTTTGGTCTTGGAGTTTAGCATACTTTCAAGACTCTCAATAGCTTTTTACTTTGCTAAGTAACAGGAGATGCTTATTTTGATATTTCTTGTATTCTTGAATAACTACTTTAAGCTGTAATAATGTGCAATGCATTCTGCTGATTTTGGAGATACTGACAACTGTGTAAGAATGATGAAACTGTCTTAAGCTTTGACATGGAGCTTTAAGCAGAGAACAGATTCTTATAATTACTGCATTTCATTTCTAGTCTGAATGAGGTAAAATTCATATTTATTAACATTAATAATCTATTAGTCTCAACTTTTGTGAATTTAAATATTCTGGCATTATTTTCCACAAAATAGATATTTCTTTTACAATAAATTTTGCATAAAGTATGATATCACTGAGACATTCGACTTACCTAATTCCTCCCTCCCACAGCTGGTAATTAAAGAAATTACAAGACTTTTTTTTCCAAGATAGGGTTTCTCTGTGTAACAGTTCTGGCTGTCCTGGAACTCACTTTGAAGACAAGATTGGCCTTGAACTCACAGAGATTCACTTGCCTCTGCCTCCCAAGTGTTGAGATTAAAGATGTGCACCACCACCGCCCAGCACAAGACATTTAAAGAAATCAAAACTATCCATTTTTTTGTTTGTTTGTTTCTGAGGATTTCTGTGCAGCTTGAGAAATCAGCACCTTTGTCAATCTGTTGAGGAAATATCAACTGGTACAATTCTTCTCAATACAGCTTTCTGCAACATGTGTGTTACTGACACATACATCTACTCATTATTACCTATATACAGTGTATTTCCTATGTTGCATTGGAATATTCATCTTTATTATTAAAAATTTCAGAAAAGTAAATATAATGTTTTCCATTAGCAAAGCAACAAAGTATGCAACATTCCTGTCCTAGATGGAGTCTAATCACAGAAATGTAGGGTGATGTAATGATGTTGCATTAGTGGAAAACATTGCTTTAGTTAGTCTTCTACTAGGTACTTTTAAAAAATTGGTATATGTGTGTAGCTGGAGAGTTTTCTCTCCAGGTTCCGCCAAGTCCCGGCAGTCCGACAGCCCACTTATAAATTAAACACACAGATGCTTATATAATTTAAACTGTTTGGCCTAATGGCTCAGGCTTCTAGCTATCTAGTTCTCACATCTTAAATTAATCCATTTCTATTAATCTATACCTTGCCACGTGACTCGTGGCTTACCGGCATCTTCACATGCTGCTTGCCATGGCGGTGGCTGGCAGTGTCTCCCTCTGCCTTCCTGTTCTCTCAATTCTCCTTTCTGTTAGTCCCACCTATACTTCCTGCCTGGCCACTGGCCAATCAGTGTTTTATTTATTGACCAATCAGAGCAACACATTTGACATACAGATCATCCCACAGCATATGTGGAAAATTGGCTGATCATTCCAAATTGTTTGAGTACTTCACAATGATGAACAGTCAAGCAAGCTTGCTCTTTGGATTGACTTCTTAGGAGTGAGTGTGCCAAGCCAAGGAGCAAGTCCTGCTATCATGAATTCATGTGATTGAGCGAAAATGGAACTTAATGTGTAGTTTGTAGGACCTCTTCATCACTTTACATGAGTGAGCAGCTAATGATTTTTGCAGCAAGACAGATTTGGAGGCAATGTGACCTCTCATAACTATAAAATTCTGCCCCTGTGTTTTCGGTTTAGTGGACTCAGGTGATACATTGTTATTTATGGTGCTCTATGTCCCTTGAGGTTTTTATAGAGAAATAGATAATATACACAATGACCTCCAGTAGGTCAGTGGGGGGTATGGTACAGAACGTCTTTATCCGTATGAGATTATAACTTAATTACAACATTCCTCCCTTCCCTTTCCTCCCTTCAAATCCTCCCATATACCCCTCCATGCTCTTTCAAATTTATTGCCTCTTTTTTTAAAAAATTAATCATTGTTATACAAACACACACATATACATATATGTATTGTTACACACATATATTAAATTATATATATTATATATTTGATTTTATTACATATTGCTAAATACATAAATACAAACTGCTCGGTTTGTATGTTACTCTTATGTATATTTTTAGGTCTGACCATTTGGTATTGGACAAACAATTGTGCTATTCCCTCGGGAAGGCCACATCACCTTGCTCCCACCTTGTCTTAGTTGCCTCTTATTCTTTGTGTAGGATTGAGGCTTCCCGGGATTATCTCCATCCAGTTTGGCATGTTCATTGTCTTGTCCAGTTCACGTGTGGGCAATCATATTGGTGAGACTTTATGGGGTGTAGCTTCTGTCATTACTGGGAAACACAATCTCACTGCAAACTCTGTGATACTCTGGTTCTTACAATATTTCTGACCCCCTTCAGTAATATCTCCTGAGCCTTAAGTGCAGGAATGTTTTGTAGATGTATCTACTGGGATTGGGGTCTACAAGGCTACATTTCAATTAGTTGTGATTTTCTGTAGAGGTCTCTGTTTCAAAGGTAAGTTTCCTCGATTAGGGGCGAAGACAGACTTTCTGGGTATCTCATTTTACCTGTTCAAAAGCATGCACTACTGGGTTCAAAAGGCAGATAAAAGAGAACCTTTTCAAAAATTCTGCTGGGCCTTTGTTGGTGATTTTTCAGCTTCCTCCCTCCGTCTCTTCTGTTCAGAAGCCTCTATGTATGCTATCTACATTTCAGTAATAACGATTTTTGAGGTCCTTGCTTCATGACTTCAAAGGAATATGTATGCATTCCTAGGATTGGAATCCTGTAATCAGCTCACACAACATTAGCACTGTGCTACAAGCTCTGCCTCGTGATTTTTTTCTTTTTTTTTAACTAAAATTTTCAGTAGATTCAGGGAGTCATGACAATTTACAGGTGTATGAGCAATCTTTGAGGTGAAATCAAGATCAATAAACTTTTAAAAGTGTTGTAGATGCTTGCTAAAAGAGCTATAGATATACAGTGAAGGAGAATATAAGGAGTCTGGGCATCCTGGGAGGAACAACTCCTGAAAGGTGTCCTGCTTAAGCTGAGATTTCAATATTCATGTGATTAGATCAAAGTGACTATTGTGGGGAAACAATGCTGAACACAGCAGGACCGATGCATCGATCTTATCATAATATCAAATGGAATCTCTTCCCAGATAACGGTAACAAACAAAAATATTAGGGAAAAAATGGATCTTGGTATTTAGGTAACTTCTTTAAATTCATCCCTGTGAAATTTAATTGATGGAGAAGTTCAGACTAACTCAGAGCATGAATGTTTTGATCAGGTATGTGTTCATATTGATAACTAACTATGGGTCTATTTCATATCTAGAATCTGGGAAGGTCTTGGTTGCTTTTGTCCCCTAGTTCAGACTCTCATGAGATTTCAGTCGACAGGTCTAGGGCTTTACTCACATTATGGTTTGTTTGGGATAGTCAGTTCCCATGGATGTTGGTAAATGCCTCCTTTTCTGTAGGCTAATGGCAGGGAGCTTAGATTCCTTATCATCTGATGGCATGGCACTTCAGTTCCCTGCTCTACAGCATTCTTGAGATGTATGGGTTGGATTTAAATTTCTCCCAGCCAAGGCCATTGGCTGCAAGCTTGGATTCCAGGTTGATGACACTGTTGAGCAGTGCTGCTGGAACACTAAGTGGCAGGACCTAGAATGAGACTTTGAAGTCACTACCATATACCTCTCAGTGTGCTGTGGGATCCCAATTTTTCCTTGCTTCCTGTCTTGAGCAGAAAGTACTTGCTCCCACAAATGATGTGTGACATCCATCAGAGGCTGAAGAAAGTCATGCCACCCAATACTAAATTTGAACCTCCAGAATAAGGAGCTAAAATAAAGATCTCTTAGCTTTTTGATAGGCCTATCACAAGGTTTGCATTGTAGTAATTATAAAGCTGACTAAAACAGCAAGTGCCCTCATAATACAACTGACAATTACAAAGCAAGCCAGCTGAATGAGAGAATCAGCAAAAGCTGCACCCCATAAATACAGAGAGTCAGTCACACAAGGTTACAGAGCAGAGAATCTCAGAGTGTCATCTTCCAGGATGGGTACCCCAACAAGGCTGGAACTGGAAGCATGGAAGAGGGTATGGCTTTGTTCCAAGATCATCTCAAAGATGAGTGGTTACTTATGAGACTTGTGATGGGGAAGGAGACCTGGATAACAGAATTGCATTAGAGGCTTGACAGAAAAGACTTACAAAATGAAGGTAAATGAGGATCTACTAGAAAAAAAATATCAAAGATCTTGGGGAAAATACCTACATCTTTAAAAGTCTTCTAATTCTTAACATGGCCTGTGGGTTAGTTCACTCTACAATGTCATCTCCTATTTTCCTAAGACCTTTCTCTACTGTGTCCCTTCTCAGACTCCCTTCCATCTAATCACATCTTTATGATCCTTAAAAGAATTCTCAGAGCCTTAAATGAATTTTGCTTTTGACTTTACAGAATTTGTTCCCTCTGTTTGGAAAGTTCGTCCTCATCTTCCACCAGAGTCTCTATGTATGAAGCTAGCATCAGTCTGTTAGGCCCCTAATCTTACAATTAGGTTATGAAGCAGTTTTTCATGTAAGAATATCTCTGTTCTTTTCATTATCTTCATCATGGTAGTCATATTATTTCAATATTTGTGTTTGGAATTACTAATGTTATTAATCAATAGAGTAGTTATTTTACCTTTGAAGTGCAGTTTAAGCTACAAGCAACAAGCGAATCATCTGCCTACCTCAAGTGCCAAGTGAAATGCCTCATAAACTATAGGCACTTAGTTATTTCTTAACAAGAAATAAATATAGTCATCCATATGACAAATAATGGTAAGTTTGAAGTTGAGAAGGAAAAAAACGAGACAGCTTATTCGGGGCTGATGTTTGCTACAGAGAAAGGCACTACACTAAAGAAGAGTCATCAAACGAACACTAAATTTCCGACTTACAAATTTGATAGGTCAAGGAGACAAAGAAAGATACCATTATAAAACGGAGGAACTAACTTCACGAATTTATCAATCAAGAGCCAGCCGTGAGGATCGAAAGAAGACCGTGCCAATTTCTTTTTTTTTTTTTCAGGGATTGTATCTGTTTTTATTGATACTCCGGTCTCTGCACCTGTAATCGTATCCAGCAGTCTGTCACCAGTGGCCATGTTTCCTCTTCAAAAAGCAGCTCTGGAAACACCGCATGATGCCAACTTTGCCGATAGAGGGCGCGAGAGTCACGCTGAAGAAAAAACGGGATTTTCCTTCTTTCCCTCCTTTGGGCAGCTTTGCTTTGGAATTAGCCTTCTGGCTTCTGCTGCATTATTCCATCCGTGATGTGGGCGTGTGGTGAGAACATGTGGTGGCTTTTTGTCCAGCCACGTATCCAGAGGACACAGTGACCTCATAGGCTCAGCTCAAGCCCTGTGACCGCCTTCAGAAAGTTATAGCCGAGCATACTGACACTGAATGCTCCAGGCTTGGCGTCCTCAGCAGCACCCAGACTTCCTCTGTGGACTCGCCTATGGGCTGGACGCCCGCACCCTGCAGGCTGGCTCATTTCCTTCCTGTCTGCTGAGTGTGGACCAGCTTCAGCCCAGAAACCTCAGCAGCCCAGTCTGCCATCCAGGAGCTGCAACCACGCCTTCCCTAACAAGACTCAGGGCTAATCAAGCAAAGGATTCTCCTGGCCAAGTTTGTCCTTGCTATGGGCAAGCCCCGATGTCCTTTTAACGCCATTACTACATCTTTAGAATTATTGCTCACAGCTTACTATTTCTTTAATATAGAATTTCTCCAGTTAAATTTACTCTGTTGTGTCTGCTTCCTAATGAGATCAAGGATGAGACATTCGTTTACCATTTAAAGTACAAGTCTTTTTCATGGGGACGTTGTTATGTATCTCTGAATTGCGGAGAATGAATAAACCAGGGGCCCCTCTTGCGACGTGTAAATGAGCGTGTGATTTAATAATCAAGGGAACAGAGGGAAGACGTGTCACAAGAGTCACAATGACCCATTAGAAGGAAACTACGACAGGGACTTCACTAGAAGAAGGCATCCCAATCAGAATGTTTGGCTTTTCCATTTCTTCCTAAGCCGATTGCTTATAAGGATCTCCATTAAATGAGTTATCTAGAAATTACTCAGTAAAGGGACCTAAAAAAATACATCTTGCAGTTCTTCTGAAAAACTGTAGATCCAGGGAAGGGTTAGTAATGAGCTCAAAGCAAAAAGACCACCGGCTGGCATTCCAGGGGAAGTTGCCCTCTTCAGAGTGCTTGCCAGTTTTGCTAATATAGCTGCTCTGAAAGTGGCTGACTGTCATTGGAAACAACCATGCACAGCATTGAATACAGAGCTAAGACTGCACCCTGCCTTGTGTAGGACTTTCAATGTGTGAATTCCACAGACAGAAATAAGTCCAAGAAAACGGGTAATAGTCAAATGATACAGTCACTCAAAACTCAACATCTCACGTGAGTAATGCTTCTGATTCAAGTATGTATTCCTGTGAGTTTGTATCACTTGCTTTTTCATAATGTCTGGGTTTCAAGCCCCCACTCACAAGTGAAAAATCAGTTTTCTCTAACAGAGTCTCATAGGGTATACAAATCACTCTTAAGGTCAGGCCCCATGCACAGCAGTCGATGGCCAACTCAAAACAAACTCAATGGTAGTTTTGGAGGGTTTTTGTTTTGTTTTGTTTTTGCCTCATAATGATTTATCTAGGATTTTTTTTCTTTCCCTATAGGTCTTTGGCTTATATAATGTGGTTTCTGGATTTGTGTTTTTATGGGCTTTCTGTATTTGTCAATGTGTGAGCCTCTGCGTCTATATATGCTTCTTATGAGTTTCTTTTGGCTTTTTTGTTTGCTTTGGCCTAGTCAACTTTGTTTGTTTGTTTTATTTTATCATTATTTTTGCATGCTTGTTTCCTTTCTAATGAGACAGAGAGAGAGAGAGAGAGAGAGAGAGAGAGAGAGAGAGAGAGAGAGGATGTGGATTTGGGTCAGGAGGTAGGGAGGATCAGGGAGGGGTTGGGATAAAGGAAACCATAATCAGAATACATTATATGAAAAATCTAATTTCAGTAAAAAATTGTCTGTGTTTAATAATGGACTCTCGGAAGGACTGAGCTGACTCAGCACACAACCTCACTTTTGGGGATTCGGAGGGAAATGAAGAGAGGATAATTCAGTACATAGGTCTACCCCTTAGGCAAGCAGTTCAAATTGGAGGCTGAGATTTAGGGTTATCACCCAGAAAAGAACTCCAAAACCATACAAGAGACTAGTAGTCTGAGCTGTCAGTCTTGGCTATCATCAGTATATTAAGTAGTTATAGCTCAGAAAAGGAATATAACCAGACATATGGCCAAGGAGCCTTTAAGCCAATAGTTACTGCTTACTAAATGTATGAGTTCTAGGAGATTCAAATGATAAGACTCATTTTTATAAAAAACACACAGAGAAACCACAGATGCTGATTTTTGATCATATATAATAAACAAGCAAGCTCACATGTGGTTACAGAAAGTATTCCTATAAAAAGTATTATTATTGTTACATCAACAATTATGCATGTGTCATATTGCAGCATAGTATGCATATATATATATATATATATATATATACATATATATAATACTTTGACAACTATTAGCCTAAGGAAGAAAGATAGAGATTTAATGTGCACATTTAGTCTCCAGACTCTTCCCATGTGTCATGCCCAGCTCTAAATTCAAGGATCCTCTGGGTAGGATGTGAGAAACTAAGCTGGGAGATGCTGACTTCACTTGACTGATGTGAGCAGAAGGCGAGCCTGGGAGGTTGTTTATCCACCTGTCTCTGTGGTTACTTTGTTCACTTACTCAGGCCAAGAAGAGAATGTTTTTATCCTCTATTTGTGGGTAGCAAAGACTCTCTGGAGGAGTTATTTCCATTTTTTGTCACAGGCACCACCAGAGCCCTTTGTCAATGAACGACCGCCTCTGAGGGTGGGAAGAGTGGATGGCATGGCTTACCACACTCTCCTTGGCCTTACCGTCAGTAAAAGGATCCAGTTATTTAATGACTTATTTATCTGTCTTTTTATGATAATGTAATTTTCATTGTGTATTATTGAATACACAAGATTCTTATGTTATAGTTTGAACAACTCAAGAATTACGTAATATTCTAATAAAATACATCTCTCTCTCTTTGTGAGGAATGCTGAGTGAGCAGACTAGAAGCTGAAGGAGAAAAGTAGTGAGTTTGAGGCTACATTTAAGACTGACTCTCTCCCCTCCACTACACACACACACACACACACACACACACACACACACACACGTACAAAGGCTAATAGATGATTTAGTACAACTTCCATGTGACTGTTAGTAACTTCTAAATGATCAATCTTTCCTTATGAAAATGTAAGTATATCATATGATAGATTTTTAGATAAATATTGTGAATCATCAATGAAAAAATACCATCTACTCTGCACTTGTCAATCCATATTATAATAGCAAAAAACAGTTTAGATGGATCACTTTAAGTAAATTACCTTCAGCATGTGAAGTTGGGTAACTGAAGTCCAAGAAGCTCGGGGTTGGTGTGTGGTGAGGTCTGCTTCTTACTTCATAGGCAGCTATGTCCTTGGTAGTGGGGGGCATGCCAGCTCTCTGGAGTTTCTTTTTACATGGCATCAGAATTACTCCATAAGGCTTGTCCTTCATGTTCTAATAACCCCGCAAGGGTCTTCCTTCTAATACCAATATGGTGTGTGGGGGTAGTAAAATTTCAATATAAGAATGTCAGGCTGGCATAAATACTTAGTGTGTAACATTCACCCTCTTGTTTCCTAAAAACCCGTGTGTCTCATATGAAAAATACACTTCTTCCCCTTTGTTGTCTCCAGACTCTTAACTCAGTACAGCCTGATCTCTAAAGCCCACATTCACAAAGCATCTACATTACTTAGCTTTGGACTAGAGGGGAAATTTATCCCGTGAGGAGTTCTTCCCAGATATGAATCTATGAAGCCAGAGGAGCTACTCACTTTCAAATGTAGTTGTGGGTTAGTTATAGAGTAGAACCTTCCTATACTCAAAGGGGAAAACTGAAAGAAAAGGAAAAAGGGAAAGATCATGTCTCAGGCAAGTTTAAAACTTAGTGGTCTGGTGCCATTCAATTTTTGGACTGTAAGGTTTGAGAATGCACCTTTGGTGTGATGCCTAGCCTTCTAGGCTCAAAGAAAGGGGAGTTATGCCAGTGCCCAGCTTGGTAGGCACTGTTCTGCCCCAATTCTCTCTCTCTACTGTCCCTTTGCAAAGCTGTTCTGCTGAGTTGAGATTCCATGGCCACAGGGCTCTCATGATGATGTCCTGCCTCTGTTTCTAGATAGCCTGACCCTGTGAAACCAAGGTGGACACAGCCAGTACATTCTTGACCTGTGATGACTGCAGAAACCCTAAGAGTCCCTGGCTCACTTTCAGGGCTACTTCTCTACAAGTTCCTTTCTTTCTTTCTTTTCTTCCTTCCTTCCTTCCTTCCTTTCTTTCTTTCTTTCTCTCTCTCTCCCTTCCTTCCTTCCTTCCTTCCTTCCTTCCTTCCTTCCTTCCTTCCTTTCTTTCTTTCTTTCTTTCTTTCTTTCTTTCTTCACTCACTTATTTTTAATGATGCTAAGAATTAAACTTAAGGCCTCATGCATACTGGACCAGTGCTCTGCCACTGAGCTGTACACTGTGTTCCATAGTGCCTGACTTCTTTTGAGGTGACTGTTTCCTCATAATTTATTTATCGAATGGCTTCTTAGTCACAGCTCAGTGTTTTCACTTTTTTCCAATATGAATCGACTGAGAGTTTTCAACGTTTTTAAATTTCTCCTCTTTGTTTAACAAATCCATTTTAAGCAGCTGCTCTCCTCCAAGAGCCTCCGTATGAGCCTTCAGTGCAAGCCAAGCTTCTCCTTCTGCTGTGGGATAATGCTCTTGTACACTCGTTTAATAAAACGCTGATTGGCCAGTAGCCAGCAGGAAGTATAGGCAGGCAAGCAGATTAAGAGAATGCTGAGAAGAGGAGGGGTAGAGTCAAGGTCTCTCACTGGACTGAAACTTGACATGGAGTGTAGACTGGTTGGTCAGAGAACACTGAAATCTGCCTATGCCTGCTTCTTCAGTGCTGGGATGACAAGTTTCCATCATTACCCCTGGTCAGGCTGTGTTGTTATTTTTTTATTTTTTTAATGTGGATTCTGGGAATCAAATTAAGGAATTTAAGCACTTTTATTAACTCAGCTATCTTCCCAGCCCAGTTCTGAAGTGTTCTCTAAGACTGAAACTTTCTCTACAACTCTGTTCTTTTCTGATGTCTCACCAGAGCTACTTTCAAAGGTGACCTTATGGAAATCTAGGCTTTTCTGTAACTCACCTGGAGAACTCTGCTGCCACATTGTGCAGTTCCAAAGTCGGGTCTACTTCTCAGTGACAATTTCTCTCTTGGATCAGTGGCTAAAGCAAAATATACCAACCTCAGTTGCTTATAAACAATACAACATCTATATCTCACAGTTCTGAGGTCTGGGAAATTCAGAATTAAGATTGGCAGGTCAGGTGACTGGAGATGGCTCACTTTCTGATTACAGAAAACAAATCTTTTGCTGTGTTCCTACATGGAGGACAGGGCAAAGAAGCATCTAGAGTAGTAGTTCTAAACCTTCCTAATGCTGTGACCCTGTAACACAGTTCCTTGTTTTGTGATGACCCCCAAACCATAAAATTATTTTTGCTGCTACTTCATAACTGTAATTTTACTACTATAACAAATCATAATGGAAATAATTTTGGAGGTAGAAGTCTGCCAAAGGGGCTGTGACCCTCAGGCTGAGAACCTTTGCTCCAGACTCTATTTTATATGTGTATTAACATCAGACATAAGGGTCTGCCTTCATTTCCAAATCGCCCCCCCACGTCCCCAGGTGATCCATTTCCAAACACTATCACACTATGGAGTGGAGATCAGTACATGAGTTACAGGGGACATAGGCATTACACTTAAAGCCTTTCTACATGAAGACTAAAGACACTCTCATGTCTGGTATGTGATCACACTGCTCTCTACTTCTGTACTTTTCTGGGTATTAACCCATACAACTAAACCCCAAACATTCCTACCTACCATTTTGCTGTTTGGTATCTTTTTCTGTCTTCTCAAAGATCTCCCTGAATTTCTTGTGAGATTGTTCCAGTGCTGATCAGTGTCCACATAGGAAGTGTTTATGTCTTTTATTTTTAAAGTATAGAAATGGTATTTAGGGTTTGAAGTTTTTTCCTCCAATTTTTCATGTATAATGCTCTCCTCTGGCCTATAGGCATGTGATTGGAAACTCACAGATAATTTCATGTAGATTCGGAGACTCATGTCTCCTCTTTTTTTTTTTTTTTTTTGTTTGTTTTTTTGAGACAGGGTTTTGCACCACCACTGCCTAGCTA